GGGAGATGCGGCGGCTGCCGCCAGGAGCTTTCCCTCCTGCCCGGCCACCCGCGCACGCCCTCTGTTCTCGCCCCTTCGGTCGTGTTTTTGGAGGGTTTTTCTTTACTTTTTTTTCTGATTCCGCCTCCCTCCTCCCCCGCCGTGCTCCGGGGTTCTATTCCATGAGGAGGCGGGAAATGCTCTCCGTGCTTAGAGCGGTGATTGCGGGACGAGGGGTGGGTGCAGTGGGGAGGCCACAGCTTTAGAAGAATCCAGTGCGATCTGTGGCGGTCTTCGCACGAAGCAAAACGTCGCGAAGCAAAGTTGCTGCTGGCTTAAACAAAAGTGCTCAGTGTCTTCCTTAATAAACTGAGTCCAGGTCTGGAGCTTCTGCCAATAGAATGCTTGGTGTTAGTCTTTCAGGATTGCTTCCTGATCGTGTCTGGGAAGATTGGAGGAAATTGAGGGACTTGATTGTGTCGGGATGGCTGCGCCCCGTTTGGGGTCTAGAGCCGTGCAGGTGCCTTTGCCGGGCCCATCGGTTGGTTGTGTCAGTCTTGGCTGGCAGCTGTCCCATGCGTTTGGGCACACAGCTCTGTATCCTGGGAAGGACAGCTCCTCATTCACGTGCTACCTCAGCTCTCCTTCCTGCATCGATTTGCCTAGCATTGACTTTTTCAAGCGTGAACAAGATTCTATTAATTTTATGTCTTCTGCCTAGCAAGGTGTCGGATATAGTTTTGGAGAAACAGTGGTGACAGACCTTTCCTGGTGTGATGCTGACTGGTGTGGTGGAGAGAACAGAATCCTGAGGTTGGCAAGAGAGGGTCACCCTGTTGCGTGGGTTGCAGGTGTTTCTGCAGTTGATCTTGTCAGGTTGCTGGTTGTAGAAGCCTGTTGGAGAATTAAATGTACCAAATCCATGTGGATGCTGCCTTGGGCAGCCTGCTTTAGCTGACGGCTTGAGCAGGGTGTTTGGAAGAGGTGACCGCTCGTGATTCTGGCAGGTCTTTCTCTTCAATGTGGTTCTGGAATTTGTGCTGGGAAGGACCAGCGGTGGGATGGCATACCAGTGTGGTATGCTGGAAATGTCTTCCAAAATACAGTAGTAGAACAAAGGAGCAAATAAGGAGATAAGACATGGCGTCAGGGTCTCTCTTTTGATGTCAGTGAAATCAACATATCCTATGAAATCTTGTCTTCAGCTGTGACTGACCGTATTTTTAGCTTTTTCTTCAGTGAATGCATAATGTTGTTGGCCTTTTAAACTGATTTTTATGTAATACCATCAGTCAAAACTGACATCTCACAACTCTGGTTTGACTGTATGTAATTCTGCTTGAACATGCAATTTCTCTTTCTTTCTTTTCCCTCCTTCCCTTTTCCCCCTTCCAAGCTTTTTAATCCAAAAGTTTATGACATTTCTGTCTTTTTGTTCATGGTGTTTGGAAGCTATAAGTTCCTAGGGTGAAGAAGAATGGTCATTTTGGCAACTTGCACACAGACTGCATTTCTATAGGATACAGTGGGGAGGTTGAATTCTGGTTTATTCCTGAAAATGGAGTAAGCATGTGACGTTTTACCCTAATCTGATTTCCAACAGGCAGAAATAAGAATGTGATTGTAGTTACTGTTTCAAAGACAGCAGAAATTCAGTTGCTGTGGGATATATCTGTTAAAGCAGAGGCTTTGTGCCTTTAATCTAGATCTAAGAATTTCCCCTCTGTTTTGACTTCCTAGCAATTCTTGGTTTACCTTAGCAAAATGATGCAAGGAAAGCATCCTTATAGATGGGTCAGTATGTATTGTTCATAATTTGTTATAAAGTTTATTAACCTTGTTCCATGCTTGTTTTTTGGTTTTGTTTGGGTTTTTTTTTTAAAGAAAAGTTAAAATGGTCATTGCCTTATTGGAGGAAACTTGAGCATGCCTGATGCTCTAGTATTTTCATTTTCTACAAAAATGGTTCAGGTCTTGGAGTTCTACTTATTTGATGGTTCTTACTGGCGTTCATGGACTGATAAGCATATTTTTTTAATATTGTGGACAGGAATACAGAGTATTAACATATGAGCTTTCCATCCGGGAAGAATTCTTTTTTCAGATGGTGGGGAGTTTGGGATGGTGAGCGGTTTGTTTTTAAACTCAAATCTTCCCAGTAGAGGATGTTTGATTTCCAATTTGGCCACACAAGGTTCTGTGCTCTTGGCACAGCAGGTAGGCAGTGTCCCAGGCAGGGTCGCTCAGGATGACTCATGGAGAGCATCCAGCTGAGATGTTTCCTTGCATGCTCTTACTTGCCCTACTGCAAGATATTTGTTCCCTCTTTTCTTAAAACTGTCTTGCTATTATTGTGGTATATGGTATTAATAATAGTATACTTAACACACAGACTTTTTTACACACAGACACATGCTTTTTTACCAAAAACAGAAGAAAAAATTTATCCACCACAATAATTCTGGAATTTTGCGCTCTTTTCTAAAATTACTTAATATATGTTATCAGAGTCAGTGCTTTGTTAGGCTGGAGAAATGGGCTGACAAGAACCTTATATAGTTTAACAAGGGGAAGTGCCAAGTCCTGCACTGGGGAGGAATCATCCCAGATGCCACTGTGTGTGGGGGCCTGCCCCGGTGAAAGCAGCTTGACAGAAAAGGCCCTGGGACACCCAGTTGGCCGTAGGCCATCACTGTGCCCCCTGCAGCAAAGAAGGCTGATGGTACACTGCCTGGCCTGCATGAGGAGGAACCTTTGCCAGCAGGTGAAGGGAGGTGATCCTTCCTCTAGTACAGTACTGGTGAAGCTTCAGCTGGAATGCTGTGTCAGGTCCAGGCTCACCAGACTCTCAAGATGGGAGATGAAGGTATTGGAGAGAGTGCAGCAAAGGGCCACAGAGATGGTTAGAGGAGATTGGAGCAGCTCTTCTTTGAGAAAAGGCTGGGAGACTGGGACTGTTCAGGCTGGAGAAGGCTCAGGGGTTCTCATCAATACATGTGAATACCTGAAGGGAGGATGTAAAGTAGATGGAGCCAGGAACATTCCAGTGGTGCCCAGTGACAGGAACACAAACACACACCAAAACATTTCAAAGATGCTATTCATCAGCCAGATGTGACTGAATTAGTATTTGGTGTTATGGGTTACTCCTGAAACACATCACACTAAATTGCAATTAAACTAAGCAAGAGTGCTGGGTGTAATTGTGCGCCTTTTACTCTCTGGAGCCCCTGGAAACAGTGCAGAAGTTGTCACCTGAAACTGATGGCAAGTACCAAAAGAGAAACTCAGCAAAACTACTGCAAATAAGTTGTCCCACTTGGAACCTGATCTGGGCTAGTAGAGAATGCTGGTGGAGTGGTCAGGCTGGCTGGCTGCAGTACAGGCTTTGACATCAGCAACATTTTTGTCAAAATCTTGACTTGTGCTTAGTGCAGGACCCCGACTTACCCTTCCTGTGCTTCACATGCTTGTTGTTGTCCTGCTGGCAGCAGATAAGGGAGCACAACCCAGCACTAGTGACCTGTGTATACCACCTTGAGATGTCTTGAAGAAAGCAGTACTGTTTGAGCAAGACATTTGAATTTGTCTTGTCTTTCAGAGGCATTTTCTATAAGCCAGATGACTTGGAAACCATAGATCCTTAAAGTAATTTGTATTTCCTTGCATATGGATTATCTCATATTTAGCCACCTGGTTAATCCTGAAAATCAGTTCAACTCTTCAGTTTTTCCACAAAAATACAAAACAATCTATCCTGACATACTGAAATGTGAGCTCTTGTGGAGC